CCTCTTTTGCCTTTCGACTCCCCTGGCCTTCAGTTTACCTCCCGTCCCCTTGCTACCAGAATCCCCTCCCCCACTTCAGTCCCAGTGAGTGGTCCACTTAAATCCTAAGACTGTAACGCTCACACAACCCCCCATACATAGGCTGAGAGGGGTGGGAGCCCCCAGCACAACAGAGGAGAATCTACATACTAAAGGCCCGATTGTGAGTGGGTCCAGCATGGCTGTGGGGGGAGGCACAGCCGCCGAGCCCCCGAACCGTGGGATGGAAGCAGGCGCTGTGCAGCCATGACCCCCCTCGCGAGTGAGCAGGCAGAACGGGGGAAGGGGGCAGTGGAGCTGAGACGGGGTGAGTGGGGAAGTCAAGAGGATCCTATAACGCGCTACCGTCCGTCAGTGCCTGCCGGGGAGCAGGGCAGGAATGGTGCCTGGATTCCTGTCTGGGGGCTGGGCAGTTCTACACCATTCAGGGCCGTGTCCTGCTGCTCAATCAGCCCCGAACAGCGACACACAGAGAGACACATGCTAAGAGGATAAACGGACGGGCAGTGCCTTAGAAGGTGACTGTAACGGACAGGATGGGGCTACACTAGCCCCCCAACACACACCCCACCAAGAGCCCTTTCCCCTGTGTCAGCCAGCACAGCGGGACTCGGCCTTTCTGGTTTTTGAACATCGTTTCTATTGTCAGGCATGTCGGTAATACGGATGAAAGAGGAACTAGATCCTCCAGGCTGGGGCAGCTAAGCACTTTGAGCTGAGGTCTGGGCCGCTTCGGCTCCATTTGTCTCTGCAGAAAGGTTTCCAGAACAATTGATAATGTCCTGAGCTCCCCATGAAGGGACCCACAGAAAACGACCGCATCCTCCCCTCCACGATGCAATGCTGGAATTGTCTGAGAATCGTAGAATCATAGACCCCCAGGGTGAGAAGGGACCACAAGGGTCAGCTGGTCTAGCCCCCTGCGAAGATGCAGGGTTCATTGTGTCTAAACCATCCAGGACAGATGGCTCCAGCCCCCTTTGGAAAACCTCCAGTGAAGGAGCTTCCACGACCTCCCGAGGCGTCTGCTCCATTGTCCTCCTGTTCTTACAGGGAGGAAGTTTTTCCTGAGATTTAATCCAAAGCTGTTCTGCTGTAGTTTGATCCCACTGTTTCCTGTCCTGCCCTCTGTGCCAAGAGAGAACAACTTTTCCCCATCTTTTTTATGGCAGCTTTTCAAGTATCTGAAGACCCCTATCATGTCCTAAGTTCCCTCTAAGCCACCTATTAAGCCCCCGCAGGGGCTCAGGGCTGAGTCAGGGAAAGGCGCCCCTCCCCACCAGCCCCAGCGTCGACCTGCCCTGTCTGGGGGAGAGGAGCCCCTCCCCCTGCCCCAACCTGCTACTGTGAGAGAGGGCTGAAGGGAGTATTCTCTCTCCACCGCAGCACCGGGGCAGCTGCACCCCCAAACCCCTCATCCCCAGTCCTGCCCCAGAGCCTGCACCCCTAGCCAGAGCCTTCTCCCTTAACCGGAGTCCTCACCCCCTGCACCCAACCCTCTGCCCCAGCCCTGGGCCCCCTCCCTCACCCCAAATCCCTCTGCCCCATCCCAACCCCAGAGCCAGCATCCCCAGTGAGAGCCCTCAGCCCCCCACTCCCCAACCCTCTGCCCCAGCCCTGAGCCCCCTCCCACACTCTGAACCCCTCAGCCCCACCCCCACCACATCACCTCCATATTGGTGCACAGAACAAAATTCATTC